TGTGGGACAGATCTAAAGATTGTGAACATAAATAGTATACTCCTCGTTTATAGTTCCATATGTGCAATACTGGGATTACAAAAAGTTCTGAAAACCAAATACTTTTTTTTTGAGACACATTCTCATTCTATCACTCTGGGTAGAGTACATGGCATCATAGCTTATAGTAACCTCAAACTCTTGGGCTCAAGAGATCCTCTTGCCTCAGCTTCCCAAGTAGCTGGGATGACAGGTACCTGCCACAGTGCCTGGCTGGTTTTTCTATTTTTATTAGAGACAAGAGTTTTGCTCTTGGTCAGGCTGGTCTCGAACTCCTGAGCTCAGTTGATCTACCCACTTTGGCCTCCCAGAGTGCTAGGATTATAGGCATGAAGTGCCATGCCCAACTCTAAATGCTTTTTTATATTTAATTTGGTGGCAAAACCTAATGTAAACTGAAGTGGTGAGATAAGGTCTTGCTCTGTTGTCCTGGCTAGGATGCAGTGGCACCATTATAACTCAGTGCAATCTCAAATTCCTGGGCTCAGGAGTTCCTCCTGCCTTAGCCTCCTGAGTAGCTAGGACTATAGGCACTTGCCACCATTATTGTTTCTAAAGACGTGGTCTTGCTATGTTGTTCAGGCCTGTCTGGTCCTCCTGGCCTCATGTGATTCTCCCACCTCAGTTTCCCAAAGTGTGGGGATTATCTAGGTGAGCCACCACCCCCAGCTGATGTGAGCTTTTTTTTTTTTATAAATTTTATTTTATTTTATTTTATTTATTTATTTATTTTATTTTCTTTTGGTTGCAGCCGTCATTGTTGTTTTTGGCAGGCCTGGGCTGGATTCGAACCCACCACCTTCGGTGTACATGGCTTAGCCACTTGAGCCACAGGTGCTGAGCCTGATGTGAGCTTTTTAGTAGTTAATTTTTTAGTCCCACTTGGTGTGCATAGTCAAAAATTTTGATGCAGAAATAGTAATGTATCTGGATATAGCATGCCACCCTAGACTTTCTAAAGGGGGTTAAATAAAATAACAGTGTGCGTACATGTTACCCCTCTAAACTCAGACAGAGTAGGAACCCTGAAGCTGTAGGAGATTTGGATAGCCCTGTGCTGAGCCCTTTGTGTGCATCAGCTCACTGTTACTATTTCATCCTGGTACCATTACTACTATATATGAACATCTTAGCAGTAGGCAAACCCTAGACAAATGTAGTCTTTAAAGAAAATTTTGTTTTCTTACGCGAATTAAATTTAAGGGCTGTGGTATCCTTAACAATGAGGAAATTAGCAAACTTCCAGAATCAAGATCCCAAGAATTCAAGGATATCCTCTTTAGGGTGTTAAAGTAGATACGTTTGCCAGGTGTGGTGGCTCATGCCTGTAATCCTAGCACTCTGGGAGGCTGAAATGGGTGTTTTGCTTGAGCTCAGGAGTTTGAGACCAGTCTGAGCAAGAGCAAGACCCCATAACTACTAAAAATAGAAAAACTGGCCGGGTGTGGTAGCAGGTGTTTGTAGTCCCAGCTACTCAGGATGCTGAGGCAGGAGGATCTCTTGAGCCTAAGAGTTTGAGGTTGCTGTGAGCTATGATGATGCCATGGCACTCTACCCAGGGCAACAGAGTGAGACTCTGTAACCAAAAAAAAAAGTTGATATGTTTTATGAGATATTGTCACAAAAATGTTATATCATTGGTATTATTTACAGAGTTTTTTCCATTTATGGCTGCTGTATTTACAGCAGTCATAGCAAGTAGTTAAAAACTGAATGATCATGTAAGATTAATAATATCACCTTTTTTCTATGAGTAGAGTACCTGGAAGAAACTGAAATGATTATTAACAAATACAAGATTTTAGAACATCTCTTCTAGTTTAAAATAGTTTTATAGCTTCTCCATTTTCTCAGATGTATTTTCTCATGAGTTTAGTTTCTCCAGCTCTGCCTTGGATGAAGACATACTCATAAAGTTTCATTGGCTATTCATATTTTACCAGTATTTTTACAGCCTCTTTTTTTTCTTTCCCAGAAATGAAAAATAGCTTTATTTTCTCTGATGATAAATGCAATATAGATTGCATTATAAAAATATAATACAAGGCAGGAGTGAAAAAATCATTCATAATCCATACTTCCAATACCCAACTATCTTCTCTTTATTTAACCTTTTACAGGAGTCTTTCAGTTTTTATCCTTCCAACCTTTTAAACAAGGCTTGCTTGTGAACTTCTGTACTTTATACCGATAATGAGAAGAAAATAAAAATAAAACATTCTTTCTTAACATTCTTCCTTCTACTCCCCATACACCTCCCCCACTTCTTTCTTTCCTTTCTGAAGTTGCTGCCAGCCACCAGGGCGCCTTTGGAAAACTGCCCTGACTGCTCAAAGTCAGGGCTTCACACAAGCTCCTGGCTGCTCAGAGTCAGGGCTTCACAACAAGCTTCTGGCAGTGGCGCCTGCCAGCAGCAACAATCTTGGAGTCTCTGGGCACCAACCCAGCAAGCTCCTGGGACCGCTGCTGCCAGCAGCCACAGGACGCCGGGCTTGCTGGTCCTTTCCTTCCCCTGGCTACAGCAGAGGACCTGAGGCCATTGTTTCCAGGAGACCCACAGGTCAGATGCACACACAGTTCTTCATTTTCTCTCTGGATGTTTCTGTCTTATCTGTGCTTGAGTTTACATAAGCCTGATTTAAATCCTACATGACCTTTTCTTGGCACTCTCCATCTTTACATAGCTCTAATAACAAGTGGCCCTAGTGATTCTTTAACAAAAAAAAAGGAATCCTTTTTCTTCCTTCTGTGGTTTAACATTTCTCATCCTCTTTTCTTCCTTTCCTTTGGTTGATCAATGCCTTAGACTTCTAAACCTCAAGCTAACTTTGCTTTTAAGTTTGTTCCAGTTTCTCTTTAGGGTCCAGTTTGAGCAGGGCTGATGTGTATGACTATATATAGTTCAGGCCTGGGTGCAGCTTGTACTGCTGTGAACATCCGTGTTCTGCTGTGTGTGTGTTGCATGATTATGTGGAAACCGTGAGTCTGGAGGCTGGGGGAGGTGGACTTAGGAAGGAAAGAGCTGCTTTTGTATTGGCCAGTTTTTATTTCTATGAGAGTGGAGACATTGGCTATGTGTTTATTAATGGATCTCCACTCCAGCGCCCAGAACAGGGCCTGGCCCATAGCAGGTTCTCAAGCACTATTTGCTGAATAAATGATTTAATACCAGACTCCAGGCTAGTAATTGGTATACAGGGAAGAAGGTAGATGAGACCCCTGCCCTCAAGGAACATTGTAGTTGGGAGACAGAAGTAATCAGATAAACAAAGAATAAGAGGATAATTAATAAAGAGATAGTTCCAGGTGAAGGAGAAGGAGGGGAGGATGTGAGAGACTGCGGGGATGCCGTTGGGTAGGGATATCTAATGACAGCTCTTTGAGAAGGTGACATCTGCACTGAGTTCTAAATGCTGAGAAGGGCACTGTAAATGCAGAGGAGTCTGTCTACTATGTTGCTCAAGTGTATTCGAGCCATGGTGAGAAGGTAGACAGGCAGCCATGTCTGGCTAGAAGGGCTGGGTTATGCAGAGTTGTGGTAAGACTTTGTATCTATTCTAAATGCTATGTCAGTCTATGTATCCTCTGAAATGTGCACTCTATGAGGACTCACAGATTATACCCCATTTATGACTTTATATTTGGTCCAGGTGAAACAGTGATGTGGAACATTTTTTTTGAGACAAGAGCCTCAAGCTATCCCCCTGGGTAGAGTGCCATGGCATCACAGCTCACAGCAACCTCCAACTCCTGGGCTCAAGCGACTCTCCTGCCTCCACCTCCCAAGTAGCTGGGACCACAGGCGCCTGCCTCAACGCCCGGCTATTTTTTGGTTGCAGCCGTCATTGTTGTTTGGTGGGCCCAGGCTGGATTCGAACCCGCCACCTTAGGTGTATGTGGCTGGCGCCTTAGCCATTTGAGCCACAGGCTCTGAGCCGATGTGGAACATTTTAATCCTTTTTGTTTGTTTAAATTGTTAGTAGCAATTGAGGAGACTAAAGCAGAGGGAGGGTACGTATAGGCAGTCCCTAAGTTAGGAACATCTGACTTACATACGACTTGTACTTACAAAAGGAGGCTTTTAAAATAGGTCCCTGAGTTAACAAACACCCAAATGATATACAGTTATTGGAGGCTATTATAGGTCATAGGTAAATGTAGCTGTTCCAACTTAAGAACAGACCCACAGAACTGATCTCACTTGTAACCCAGGGACTGCCTATACTCTCATTAGGAGGTTGTCAGTGAGTAACAGAGGACAGCAGAGGAAGAGGGAAACAGAGAAAGGAGACTGACATTGAATGTGGTAGGCACTGTCCTTGTGCCTTACTTGCATTATGTTATTTAATCCCCCAACTGCCTGTGGTACAGAGTGATGGCCTGTCCCTCTAAAAGAGGTCCTTGTGCTTATCAGAACCCCTGAATAGGTTACCTTACTTGGCAAACAGCATTTTGGTGTTGTGATTAAGTTAAACATCTTTTTTTTTTTTTTGAGGCAGAGTCTCACTATATTGTCCTTGGTAGAGTGCTGTGGCTTCACAGCTCACAGCAACCGCAAGCTCTTGGGCTCAAGTGATTCTCTTGCCTTAGTCTCCTAAGTAGCTGGGACTATAGGTGCCCACCACAACACCCGGCAATTTTTTTGTTGTAGTTGTTGTTGTTTAGCAAGTGTGGGCCTGGCTCGAACCCACCAGCCTTGGTGTATGTGGCTGGTGTCCTAACTGCTGAGCTGTGGGCACTGAATACCATAAGTTAAGCATCTTAAAATGGGGAGAGTACCTGATATTATTTATGTGGGCCTAATCTAATCACAGTGTCCTTCTAAGAGGAAGATAAATGTGTAAAAGTGAAAAAGAAAGAAGCCCATGTGGTGATAGAAGCCCAGGAAGGAGCCGCATTGTGAGGTGGGGCTATAAGCCAAGGAATGAGGACAAACCCTCTGGTGGACAGGGCAAAGAAACAGATTCTCTCCTAGGACCTCTGGAAAGGAAGGCAACCCTTGATTTGAGCCCAGTGAGTCTGTTTTGGGGTTTCTGACCTCCAGAACTCTAAGATAACTTTGTTTGTTGTATTAAGCCACCAGGTTTGTGGTAGTTTGTTACCGTGAAGGAAGCAAGAGGAGACTAGTGCCCAGGTCAGTCAGTGATAGAGGTGTCCCAAGGCTCACTTTACAGGAAGGAAGCTGGGGTTCAGAGGGTCTGTCTGCTCCATTAGCCTGGAGCTGGGGTTTAGATCCAAGTTTGTCTAACTCCATAGTCACTCTTTCTACTTTATCAAGTTGATTTTAGAAGTGCGTGTAGGGGGGTGGGGGAAGGGAGTCTGCCAGCTAGGGAAGTTCTTGGGGCTAGAAGGAGGAAAGAAAGGGGGTGATTCTAGGGAGTTGGGGTGGGGATTTGGAGTCTATGGACAGGAAACGGCTCTCACAGTATTGTAGCTGAGGCCAGTCCTATGAATGCATGACAGTGTCTCCTCTCCCCAAAGGGCTTTCTTGGTGGCCTTTCCCAGTCATGTGGCTAGTGGAGCTCATTTTAGGCAGGTGAGGAAGTGGAAGAAGAGACGAAGAAGCCAGGTTGCACTGCTTGGGGAAGTCAATGGAATTCTGAAATTGTTTCCCAGGAAAACACTGCAGCGTGCTTGTTAAGCTCTTTGTGTCATGGATACTCTATTTCAAGTTTATTATGAATTGCATAAATTTGTGGGCTGCTATGAGAATCTAACTATTTATAATAGGAAAGAACATTCCAAGTCTTCAGAAAGTCTAAAGGTGCTCTTGGAGTGGAAATTTTTGTAAGTTTGGGGATAGCAAATAATTTGATTTTTCCCCAAAATGTTTGTATTGGAAGCGTTAAGAGGTTCTAGATATTTTAGTAACTTCCAAAAAGGTCTGTGGACCCTTTCATTGTATTAGAATGTGCTTACATTAAATATCGTTGCTGTTATTGGGCTAAATGGATTATGGTGGGGATGAGAGAATTTTGTTATTATTATACAACAATTTTGATGATGTGGGAGGCTTTACGGCCATCTCTCCCTTAGTGATTCAACACTGCTCACATTCATTGTGGTAATTTTGCATTACAGCCATCAACTATTCAACTTGCTTGTTAAGCACTGATCCCGAATTCCGTTTACAAACCTGTCTTAACAGTTTGCCTGCACAACTCTTTACCAGTTATTTCCCTTGATTTCTTTTCAGCGAATGTTCTCTAAGCTTCTTCTAGTTTCTATACTTCTCACTTGGGGTTGGTAGTACAGCAGGCGGAAGAAAAAAAAAGGCACAGTTTTAGGAATATTTTGTTTTGTATAAGGTTTCTTTGCTTCACAGTGCTGATCCAAAGGATAAAGACCTCTGCAGTTTTCCTAATATACACGTATTCAGTAGGATGTGACTTGGGAAGCATGTTACATAGCAATATGTGTACATCTTCATTACCATGAAGTTGATTGTTATTTAGAATTGGATTTTTACATTTTTCATGCATATACTGTACATTAAAATTGCCCTTAAAAATTTTTAAATTTGCTCACCAAATACAGTGTATACAGTTTTGTGCATATAGTTTTACATAGGTTGAATATTCCTAATCTGAAAATCTGAAATCCAGTGTACTCCAAAATCTGACATTTGTAAGCTGACCATGATGTTCAAAGGAAATGATCATTTGGGGCGTTCTGGATTTTGGTTTTTTGCTTTAGGATTATGGGCTGTTGAACTGGTTTAATGCAAATATTCCAAAATTTGAAAAAATCTGAAATCTAAAGTACTTCGTTTCCCAAGCATTTGGATAAATTATCTGTATGGTGATTATTCTTTGGGACCAGCTGAGCCAGACTGTAGGAATAAAGAAAAGTCTCCATGTCCGTGTCTGATACTCAAGTCACATTTTCTTTAATAAACTTCAGATCTCTAGAGGGACATGGGGAAACAAATGTTTTTTTTTTGTTGTTTGTTTGTTTTTTTGAGACAGAGCCTCAAGCTGTCCCCCTGGGTAGAGTGCTGTGGCATCTCAGCTCACAGCAACCTCCAACTCCTGGGCTCAAACGAGTCTCCTGCCAGCACCCGCCACAACGCCTGGCTATTTTTTGGTTGCAGCCATCATTGTTGTTTGGCGGGCCCAGGCTGGATTCGAACCCACCACCTTGGGTGTACATGGCTGGTGCCTTAGCCACTTGAGCCACAGGCGCTGAGCTGGGAAACAAATGTTGAAGTGAATGTTTCTGCTTGTTTGCAGGGGTTGCCCCTATTCTGATTTTCATGTTAAACTCTTATAGCCTTAATACACACATGTTAACTGGTTGGTTTGTCATAAGGATGAAATTAGATACTTTATGTGAAAGAGCCCAGCAGGGCCTAGCAGTAGTAGTAGGTGTTTAGCAAGCGTTTATTGGATTGGAATCTCAGTGTCACAAGTGCTGTCATGGTTTACAGATCAGTTAGATTCTTCCTGTGGTTTGGCATTTTGTGCACAATTTGAGTTTTAAATGCTAAAAATAAAGATAATAATTCTTTCTTTTGTGGTGTTCTTAGGATGAATTGAGTGATGTTATTGATATTAAGGATCCAGATTTCACTCCTGCAGCTGAACGACGGCAGAAACGCTTGGCTGCTGAGCTGGCCAAATTTGATCCTGATCATTACCTGTAAGTATAGAGTTTTTTGAAGATAAAATAATTTACTTGACTTTTTTTTTTTTTTTTGAAACAGAGTCTCAAGCTGTCGCCCTGGGTACAGTGCCATGGCGTCACAGCTCACAACAACCTTCAATTCTTGGGCTTAAGCGATTCTCTTGCCTTAGCCTCCCAAGTAGCTGGGATTATAGGCATCTGCCACAATGCCCAGCTATTTTTTGCTTGTAGTTGTTATTGTTGTTTGGCAGGCCGGGGCTAAATTCGAACCCGCCAGCTCCGGTGTATGGGGCCAGCGCCTTAGCCACTTGAGCTACAGGTGCTGAGCTTTGAGTGCTTTTTTAAATATGTACATTTTGGAATCTAAAGTTACTGATGGCTCATAACCTTAACTGACGTTTGACTCAACTCATGTCACACCTCTGTGATCTTTTTAAGATACTGCTTCTTCATCTCAGCAACAGAGAACTGTACCTACATACTTTTTAAAGTTTTTTTCTTGCCAGGCTTAAAAACAGGGCCCTGAATTCATAAGAATATTTATACTTTTGTTAAAGTAAGCTTTTTGTTGTAATTAATGGTATACTTAAATGAAAGTATGTATCAATTTCTTTAAGAATTTATATCTGCCAGTATTGCATTTCTTGGCTGATCTAGGGTCTTCATAATGCTTTTGTCCACAAGCACCTGTAATCAATGATATATTTCAACTGAGCAAATAATTGTTCTTTGTGGTATAGTATAAGCAAAATTTAATTTTAAGTTTTACTATATTTCCTTCCTGCATTCATTGTATTTTTAGCCATAATGTGTTTCAGTCAGTCTTATATTGCGTAAGGAACTTGTCTAATTAATGGATAGGTAAATGGTCACTTGGGGAGAGATTGTGATGACTCCCATTGGCTGGGACAGCTGCACTTCTTCCAAGGATTGTCATCTGGCCTCTGTGGCTACTTGGCTCTCCTAGGATATGTGGAGAAGGGTATTGTGTGTATCAATTACTGTTCTTCCCAAGCTCTGGAGCGACATTTGCTATACTGTTGCCTATACAACTGTAATCATCATCTCCTTTTCTTTCTATAGTGCCTGCAGCTTATTAAGTGCTCTCATGAGATATTTAATTCCATTTTCACAACAAATGAGGAAAGAAGTTTAAAGGACTTGCCCAGCCAAGGTCACACTACTACTGAGTAGCTTGGCCAGGACTTGAAAAGAGACTCTCCATTTGTCATCTTGTATTTCCTTTTCATGTACACTATTTCAGTTTAACTGCTGTTGCTCTTGTGATTAACATTCTATCTCCTGTGACACAGTAGGATACTAATTGGAATGGCAGAAATATGTCTTGTGATGTGCAAATGGAATGAGTGATATGTAATGATAAGTGGTTGAACTATTCAGCATCCTCAGGGAAACTGGGTAAGAGCAGGATATGCTATATTTTGGAGGACATCTGAGAGATTCAACTCCATTGCCAATTCTAATTACCTTTATCTCAATTGTGATTTTAAAGGTCCACTGAAGAGTAATTTGAAGAAACCCATTTAAGATCATGCTGCATATTTAAAGTGAAAATTTCATTGTCAGCAAATTTCTCAGCTAGCATGAGAACAGAATGAGCTTTATAAGACTGAAATTTCAAATGGGAGGGAGCTTAATTAGTAGAAATGCCTATTCTTCTCTCTTATAAAACTAGAAGAATAACTCTGGCCTGGGAGAATTAGGAAATTGGCATTTATAGTTCGAAGTGTGATACTATAAGCAGCCCTTATTTTCCTCCATCTTTTGTGTTTCTTTATTGAGAAGCTCATTTTCTTCAATAGTATGCATGGAATGTTCTTGCCATTTCTCAGGGAATAGTTCTTCATATAGGAGTGGTTTGCATTTAGTCTCAGGCTAAATGAGGAGAGCCAGAGTCCTGAGGAAAAGGTTCTTTGTGACTTTCTGGTACCACTAAAGCTTTGGCTAAGTGTAATTTTTTTTAAGAGTGTCTCACTGTGTTGCCCTCAGTAGAGTGCTGTGATGTCACAGCTCACAGCAACCTCTAGCTCTTGGGCTTAGGCAATTCTCTTGCCTTAGCCTCCCAAGTAGCTGGGACTACAGGCGCCTGCCACAACACCCGACAATTTTTTGTTGCAGTTTGGCCAGGACCGGGTTTGAACCCACCGCCCTCAGAATATGGGGCCAGCACCCTGCCCACTGAGCCACAGGCGCCAGCTTAAGTGTAATTTTTGTGTTATTCATTACTCATTATTTGTGGTAACTGACTGACTCACCCAATGTATTAATACTAAATGAAGTGCAAGTTGTCATTTTAAATTGTAATTAAAATTTTTTTAGTTTAGTGCTTTTTTTGTTGTTAGCATTTAAAACAGAGAAGAAAAAAGGCTCACTTTAAATTACTATCTACCATGTGTGTAATACATTTTATGTATTATATTATGTATACACATGTAAATGTAGTACACACATGTAATACACAATATATACTACATTAATGTGATGTCACCTATTTTTAAGTTGTTAAATTGTCCTTATAAGTCATGATGTTGCCTTGTGTTGTCAGGATTTGGGGGGACTTGAAAAAAACTAATTTTAACTTCAGCTGAAGCAGAATACAGTGAAGTTGGTTGATTGTAAAGAAAAATTTATACATTTCCAAGGCATATATAATTGACTTTGGATTGTTACTGTTTAGAAAACCCTTTATTGTTGTAAAATCTGGATGTTACTGTATGTTTTGCAGCCCAGCACAATGTGGACATGTAATGGATAATCCATAAACATAAATTGTTTTTGGTTATTCATTTCTTGCTATTTATAGTTCCTTTTGGGCATTATTTTTACAGTAAAATATGTTGACCACATCTTGAAGCATTCCTTAATGGTCTCTTTTCTTTTGCTCATTATACTCAAGTTTTCTTATCGTTCTTGCTGAGACTGTTGGGTTTTTTCCTTGTTTTTTAGTTGTTGGCATATTTTTTTACCTTAACCATTTTTTAAAGTCTTGCCTGTTTTTTTTCATTTGGGAGAAAACAGAAGAATTTAGTCGGCATTCTAAACATCTGTGAGGTAAGAAATGGGACAAAAATGATATTATGTCATTTGGGTGCCATTTTAAATTATGATAATTTTTTGTTGCTCTAAATTTGTTAAAGATGGTGTATACTGACCAGGCTTTTGGATTTATTAAGTATACCTTAAGACACCGTATAGTAATTGAAAGGCTGGTAGCAAGGTTGAATGCTTCTGAGGTAGCTCTCTTCTCAAAACACTAAACTTAGGAGAAAGCATTAGAATAAAAAGGTATGTATTCATTCTTTTATTTATCCGACAAACATTTGTTTGATGAACCACTTGCCGGGCAGTGCTGCAGACACTAAGATTCTGTGGTGAAGACAGGGTCTCTGTACTCATGGGGCTTATGTTCTAGTGGGGGAGGTAGACACTATTTCCATTGTGATAAATGCTGTGAAGAAAAAGCCGATTAAAGGTCTAGACAGTGACAGGGCATCCCACTGACTCCTCTGTTTCAACATGTCCAGAATGAAACTCATCATTTTACCTGTGAAGTCTTCCTGAATTTTCTCACTTGGTTAAGTGCCCCATTTTTCACTCCAGTCACCCAGTTAGAAATCTGAGATTCATCTTCGGCTTCTTTCTTATCCCAAACATTCAATCAATCCTGAAGTTGTACCATTTATCTCTGTAGTGTTTCCTTCACTCTGTCTGTCTCTGGTCCTCATCCATGTCTGGCTTAGTGCAGCACTCACCTAACCACCTACCTGGCACCTCTGCCTCCCGCCTGCACTTCATCACATCCATCAACCGTAAAACCGCCTGTATGATGTCTTATGGGTAACTGAAAGTAGAAATATGCTTAACCCCATACTTGGTGCTCTTTTGCTTAAAGCATGAGCTCCTAACTCCTTAGTGTGCCACTGAAAGTTCCCTGTGATCTGTACCCCGCGCCTACCCCCATAGTTTCTTTGGCCTAGTTTGGCACCCCCTGATCACATTTTACACTGTAACAACAGTGAATGTTTGTTTCTCTGCTGGTACCACGCCACTTCCCATAGACTACCTCTTACTCAGGGTATCTCTTTTACTATTTTTCTCCCTGCCCCACTTTGCCTGAATAATTTTTGGACTGGGCTGTGCTGTCACCCCCATGTGCCATCACCCCCACGTGGCTACCCTCTTAGGCTGGTAAGCTATCTTCAGCGTCCCCTGTTATGGCTCATTTGTTGTTATGACATTGTTTTATAATGTTCTGTATTTGTGTGCATAGTTCCCATTCGATCGTGCGTCCTTAAGGGCAGGTGGTGAGTCTCCCTGATGCTGCATGCAGAGGGCATCACTGAATGCTGGTTGCATTAATGGCATTTACAAACTTGAAAATAATTTATTATGAAAAGTAGAAAGTTAGTCAACCTCAGTTCGTGCAACTCTTAATTCATGGACAAGTGAAAGAATAAACCTACACAGCTTTGGATACTAGAACTCTATTAGCGAAATTTTACTCAGAATAATCACTCAAACATTTTGGAGTTTTGTTGGTGGGGAGGAGGGTGGAGGTGGTAGAAATAGCATTTTATCAAGCCAGTTTTTTTCTGTTCCCCACCCCATTCCCATCATGGTCTCCCTGGGAAAAACCAAGCCTCTTTTCAGATGGGTTCTTCTTCTATCTTTGCATTAAGAATCTTCAGTGCCCCAGGGTCCAAGGCCCTTTTCTCTCATTGTGCTTGTTCTTCTTGGGCAACTCAGTCCTTTTTCTTGGTCTAAATACTCATGACTCCCATGTCTCTCTCAACTGTCAGCCTTGTATGTCCACCCAATTATTGGGCAGGTCTTATATGTCTTCTTTTTTATTGTTTGGGATTCATTGAGGGTACAAAGAATTGGTTGCCTTTGTTAGATGAAGTCCCTCTGTTTGTACGTCTTAAAGGGCACCTTAAACTCAACCTGTCCCAAACAGAAGTCATCATCTTCCACTCATGTCTGTTAACTTCCTGTAGCCCTGTCTCAATGTATCCTACATCCCTGTTGTCCACTGAGCTGTCAAGGCCAAGATCCTGGGCATCACTTGTTGACTACGCCCATTGTTGGGTGGTGATTTCTCACGGGGAGAGAAGGACAGCTTGGCTGTGGGTGCACGCTTGCTCCTGGAATTGTATGAAAGCAAGAAATGACTACTACTCGGGGTGGCAGTAGCAAAATCTCTTTATTCACAATCACCTTTTATAGTAAACTAATCACATACACCTCATTGATCAATAATCTTAACATTCTCTATTCTTGTCTTAAACTATAGAAAAGACAGAAGGTCCAGGAAAGTAAGATAACCATCTTAAGACTAGCCTCAAGCTAAAGAGAGAAAGTCCGGGAAAGTAAGAAAACCATCTTAAGACTAGCCTCAGGCTATTCCTCTCTAAAGACCTAAAACAACCCTACATTATCTGACTTCCATGTCAAAGTTAAAGGTCAGGACAAACAGGGAAGTAAAACTTTTTTTCTTCCATGTACTCAATTAAGTTTCTGAGAAACAGGTTCAGTGACTCTATTTTCTTGTGGTTTTGGAAGCCACTTGCTTTTACGATGGTTTTTCACGTACGTCAACCTTCGAGCCATGTCTCCTGCACAGACGGGCCACATCATCTGGCAGGCTGACTGACTGCATGGTCAGAATCCCACACAGGAGGTTGTTACCACCTTGCCCGCAAGCTCTGCCATGCTCTCCCAGGCAGCAAGGCTTCTACAAAACACACAATACTTAGGAGTCTTTTCGCTCAGTTTCTGGAATTAAAAGAGCACATTTCATGTAGGTAATTTTATGTGGGAATTCACCCCACAATCATCCTTGATTCCTCTAGCTCCTCTGCCCCTGCAGCCTGTGGGCTCTATCTGTCTTCTAACTGTAGGTCACATCCATCCACTTAGGTCCATGTCCACTGCTACTGTCCTGTTCTAGGCTGCCATTATTTCTGCTCTTCCAGGTTTGTCCCTTTAAATCATTTTCCAGAGTGTATAGTAAGAGTGATATTTCTAAAACACACTGATGTCATTCCCTTGTGTAAAAAGCTTTTAAATGTTTGGTTGTTCTTAGAGATAAAAATCCTCCAGATTTTTAAACATAGTTTATAAGGTTATTGTCATTACAACATACTATTTTCAGTTTCACTTAACTTTTCTTTCCTCTTTAAATGGGCCTCTTGTTTCCTAGCCTTTGTCAACTGTTATTTTAGCCCCTACTACCCTCTCCTGCCCCTCTTAATCAGGTTAGCTGTTAATTATCATTCAGCTGTTGGTTTAGATATCATTTTCTCCAGATTCCTTGCCTATCATCCTAGTTTTATTTATCCTAGAATCCTGTTCTGTCATGTTGTAGTGTTATGTTGTATTGTAATCACTTGACTCTCCCAGGGGACAGCAAGTTCAGTGATGACCAGGACTGTCTGTGTCTTGCCAGCAGTGGCACCCCACTGCCCAACATGGAGCTTGGACACGGCCCAAAGTCAATACTTTGTGTTGAATGAATCACTTATTTACCATTTTAGCCATTTACTCCTATTGTATATCCTTTTTGAAATTTGTTATTGCCTAGGTAAAAGATCACATTTGGATTTGTGAATGAATCTATTAGGTAGAACCTCAATTCAAAAGAATTTTCCTTCACTTCAGGGAAAAAGAGATAGATAATTAGAAAGTAGACTTAGCAGGATTAGTTTATAAAGTATCTGCTTCGTCCTAGTCTCATACCTTGTGCACCTGACAAGAACGGTTAAGAATTTCCACTTCAATTACCTGTTCAGTTTTATCCAATATCCACTTTATTTCCTCATGCATAAAAATGAAATATTTATGCTGATTAAGAGTTCAGATTCTGGAGTAAGACTTGAATGAGTCCCTATCCTGGCCACACTTCTTACTCTTACACTGAGCTTGGCCAAGGTATACAACTTTTGCAAGCCTCAGTTTCCACTCACTTAAAATGAGGGTATTACTGGTGCTTCCTGCCCATAATGATAATATGAGGATTCAAGGAAATAATGGACGCAAAGCTCTTAATGCAATGCCTAGAACATGCAAATAAGTCAGTGGGTTATCTGTGATCTTTCTAATTTTTAAAAGATTTCAGTATCTCAGTTGAAAGGAAAAAAAGTATCTAAGGTCATAAAACTATCAGCTAGAAAATTCAGTTTATCAAAGCAGCCAATTCCTTGAGTTTCTAGTTAACTGAAATATAAATGAGATTTTCACCATGAGTTATACTTTCTCATGCTTTTCCAAGAATTCCAGTTTCCAACTTTGAATGCAAGATAGTATCACTCTTGAATAGGTGTCCTCCAAGAGTGAGAGATATATTTTGAATATAGCTGTTATTTTTCTAGTTAAATAAGAAAGTAGAGAGAAAGTAGGGGAGTGCCTATGGCTCAGTGAGTAGGGTGCCAGCCCCATATACCAGGGGTGGCAGGTTCAAACCTGGTCCCAGCCCAACTGCAACAAAAAAATAGCCAGGTGTTGTGTTGGGTTCCTGTAGTCCCAGCTACTTCAGAGGCTGAGGCAAGAGAATCACCTGAGCCAAGGAGTTGGAGGTTGCTGTGAGCTGTGACGGCACAGCACTCTACTGAGGGCAATAAAGTGAGACTCTGTTTCTAAAAAAAAACCAAAACAAAACAAAAAATCCCCCCAAAAGTGGAGAAAGTAGAATGTAGGAAAGTAGTTTTCTGTTCTCTATATTGGTTGCTTTTATCTTCTTCAATAGTTTAAAAGGACTGTTAAGATTAAAATAGCTAGGCTCGGCGCCTATAGCTCAACCGGCTAAGGCGCCAGCCACGTACACCTAAGGTGGCGGGTTCGAAT